GACGCTGCGCCTCGCCCCTCACCTTGTTTGAGGCAGGGCCTCTCTTGTTCACTGCTGCCTACACCAGGCTACCTGGGCCATCAGCTTCCGGGGAGTCTATTTCTGCCTGCCATCTCCTGGTACAGGCATTACAAATGCTTGTGTTACTGTGCCCAGCTTTTATGTGTGTTCTGGGGATCTGGACTCCAGTTATCAGGCTTCATGACTTGGAGACTAGAACAAAATAGAAGAGGCTGGGACAACTATAAATGGAGATCAGTAAGCCGGACAAAAATCACTGTCCCCCCCTGTGAGCACCATTCATAGGCCTCTGTCTGTCCCTTAAGGTTTGAACTCTTGTTCTAAAGTGTTCACTTACTATCAATACATTAGATGGGAGCGGGGTACTAATGCAAACTCCAGGTACAGTGGGAACACCAGGCTTGGAGAACTAAGGGGTCAGTTTCAGCTTTAGACTTAAAATTTATTTAAACTTAAATTTATGTGTCTGCAGCACGAGCATGAATCCAGATGAAGGCATCAGATCCCCTGGATGTGGGTGATTTTTAATTCTAATGTTGGCAATTTTGGGTTGCCACATTAACTCAGTAAAGAACAATAAAGTCAGGTTCTCTTGACAAAAAAAAAAAAAAAAAAAAAAAAAAAAAAAAAAAAAAAAAAAAAAAAAAAAAAAAAAAAAAAAAAAAAAAAAAAAATCACTGTCATGTTTTTTGATGGTGAGTGTGGTGGTTTGGGAAAAAATGGCCCCTAAAGGGAGTGGCACTATTTGGAGGTGTGGCTTTGTTGGAAGACGTGCGTCATTGTGGGGGCGGGCTCTGAGGCTTCCTATGCTCAGGACACCACCCAGTGTGACTGTCAGTTGGCTTCCTGCTGCTTTCGGGTCAAGATGCAGCCAGCACCATGTCAGCCTGCACGCTGCCATGCTCCCTGTCATGATGATAATGGACTGAACTGATGAAACTTTAAGGGAGCTACCGCAATTAAATGTTTCTTTTATAAGAATTGCTGTGGTCATGGTGTCTTTTCACAGCAATAGAAAACCCTAACTAACACAGTGAGTCTGAACTCACTGGATGGGTGAGACAAAGAATTTGTTCGGTTTGGAAAACAGGAAGCAATGAGCAACAGCCTAGGAGTTCAAAGAAAACAGTGCAAAAGCTCTCCTATCAAGAACAAGCTAAAGGCCTTGCACATGCAAATCTGAGCCTTCTTACAGATTATTCCCAAATAAAATACTATTGTCAAATCTCTTAAGTAAAACTGTATCATAGAAATCCTTTCAATGGATAAATTTATTCCTATTGCTTTTTTATTAAGACTATGTCCATGCTTTTTATCTGAATAATTATGTAACTTCTATTTAAATGAAACACCCTAATAGTGTACTTCAGCTTATATCTGACCAAAAAGCAGATTTTGGATTTGTCACTAATCATTCAGTTTAACTCTCAAAGACACCTGGCATGTCTTCACTATCAGGAAGCAAAGCACTTCTCTATTTTACACCTACTTTGAAATATAGGTTATATCCTTATAGACTTTTAATTTCTACTCTGAATCCTTAAAATGGGAATAAAAGTAACAACAGACAATCCATGAACACTTGATAATGTATCAATGTAGAAATATTTGATGACCTATAACTCAGAACTGTTTCAGTTCTTATTTCCAGGTGGATCTCTGTGAGTCCAAGGCCAGCCTCTATAGAGTAAGTTCCAGGACAGCCAGGGTGGTTGGTTACACAGAGAAACCTTATCTTGGGGAAAAAACAAAAAACAAAAAACAAGCCCCTCCCCCCAAACTCCCAAGACAAAACCAAAAACAAACAACAAAAAAAGATTCTTATTTTGTAATTTGTCAACTGTCCCAATTATGTCCTTTCTAGCAAAAGGAAGCAGACTATTCCTGTGACTTTATTCTCCTTTAATGATTTTTTTTTGCCTTGTCTCATGTTCCCTCAGTATTAGACTAAAACGACAAGTTCTCAGCAGAAATTTATTTTATGTTGTTTTTTATCTTTAGTCTGCATTAAAAATATCTTTAATGAAATATAATTTACATGTCATAGATTTATATTTCTTTGTTTTTAAGACTAAAAGGGGACCCTGGCAGTGGGACCAGGATTTATTCTTGGTGCATGGGCTGGAATTTTGAAGCTCATTTCATATGATGGGGTGCCTTGCTCAGCCTTGATGCGGGGAGAGGGGTGGAGGGGAGGGAGGGGCAACTGTGGTTGTTATGTAAAATGAATAAAAAATGCATGTGTCTGTATATGGGCATGTTCACATGAGTACAGGTCCACACAGAGGCTAGGGGACATCACGCCCCCTGGATCTGGAGTTACAAGTGGTGAGTGAAGTTAGCCACTAAGCCATCTCTCCAGCCCAGACTGACCTTTTGTAAGTACACAACCCAGTAAGTTTATAGTGATGTACAAACATCACCACAATCCAAGTTCAGAAGATTTCTATTATTCCCAGAAAATTCCCCACTCAATTAATAGTTATCTTTCACACCCATTAATCCTGCTTTCTGTCTCTCTAAATCTGATTTTCCTAGATATTTTATATAAACTGGAACCAGGCAACAGTTGGCTTTCGTGTCTGGCTTCTTTTATTTAACATACTACTTGGAGGTTTATCCATATATAAAATCTGTAGGGTTCCTGAGACAAGGTTTTACTTTGTAGCCCAGGCTGGCCTAAAACTCAATATGTAGCCATGTCTGGCCCCTAGCCCACAGCAATCTTTCTGTAGCCCAGTTAATTCCATTTAGTTGATAAATTGCATTCTACTTTATGGACATATATTGTTTTGTTTATTGACTCACTAACTGATGGGTATTCATGTTGTTTCTAGTTTGGTTATTTGAAATACTCTACTAGAACATTTAAATGTACATCTTTGTGGACAACTCCCTCTTGTTTGCTTTCTTTTTTTGTTTGTTTGTTTGTTTTTTTTTTGTTTCTCTTGTGTTGGCCTCTAGGGGTAAGATTGTGACTCATATGTAAATCTATGCTTAAGTTTAGAGAAACTGCTGAACTGTTTCCAAGCTGGCTCCATAGTCCCAAGAGCAGTTACCTTTACTCCAATGGGTGTGAAACAGTATCTCATTGTTTAGATCGCATTTTTTCCTAATTATTACTGAAATGTCTAATCACCAAATCCTTTATCTATTGTAACATTAGGTTTATCTTATTACTGATTTATAAGGTTTCTCTGATGGGACTGACATACGGTATTTCTAGATGCAATGCACTGCCATTTGCTACTGCCTTATGTACACCTCTATTCTGTGTACCTTACAGAAGTTGCAGTTCCTCTGGAATTCACCCTGTACTTTGCTTCTGAACCTCTTTACTTTTGTTGTTACTATAATCGATGATAAAGAATTGTGTGGTCAAACAAGTCCAGCAAATGGTTTTATCAAAGAGTTAGTACCTCTAAGACATACATCTGAGACCTCAATGTATCAATGAGCATGAAGAGCCTCTCCAAGTACACTGATCCAAGCATTTCCCAAAACTTGTCCTTTATGTTTTCTTCTTCACTGGGTCCTCTATCGCGTATCAGAATAAAGGGATGTTGTGAGGAATGCAGATGAGAAATCTGCATTACCTGACAAACTTCCCGCTCTTCACTTGTGTACTTGTGTGTGTGTGTGTGTGTGTGTGTGTGTGTGTGTGTGTGTGTGTGGTACAAGCATGTGACTATGCAGGTACATGGGTGCAGGGTGTCAGGAATCTTCCTCTATCGCCCCCTTAGGTCTTGGAGTCAGAGTCTCTCACTGAACCAGAAGTCTGCTATTTCAGCTAGGCTGGCTGGTCATCCAGCTCTTGGGATCCACCTGTCCAAGACCCACCATGTGGAAGGCAAGGATCTAATCTCTCTAGTTGTTCTCTGACCCATACATATTCATTCTCTCTCTCTCTCTCTCTCTCTCTCTCTCTCTCTCTCACACACACACACACACACACACACATAAATGTAAAAACTAACAAAACCCAGGGTATTTCCTCTAAAATAAAAATTAAAAAGGCAATTTCTTAAGTAAGACATTATAATATAAATCTTCATGAATGTAAAGCTAAATTAAAACCCAGAAGCTCAGAGCCAGGCTCATGAAACTGAATGGACATTGGTAAACTTGGGTCTAGCCCTCTTCTGCTGGCTCTTACTGGCTTTAGTCTTCTGATCTGTAAGACTGGGGAAGAACCTATATCATATGTGACTACAAGGACTGCCCCAAACATCTATTTGTTTTTAAGGTTTGTTTATATGTATGTATCGGCATATATTCTGTGTGTGTGTGTGTGTGTGTGTGTGTGTGTGTGTGTGTGTGTGTGTCCACATGCATCTACAACAGAAGACAAAAGAGGGTGTCAGATCTCTTGGAGCTGGAGTTACGGCAGTTGTGAGACACCTGACACAGATGCTTGTAACCAAACTTAGGTTCTCTGCAAGAGTAGCAGATCTTAAGAACCCACCGCAAAGTAGTGGGCATACACATACATACACAGAGCAAATGCTCAGTAAATTATAAGTATGGTTATGCAAACAGTTCCCCTAAGTACTCACACAAGAAATGAAGAAATCATCTAGAAATGCTGTATGTACTCATTACTAAGGCAGCTTCAACACTTATTCTAAAGACACAGAAAGAATCCCTCCTGGACAGGTAACCCTTGAGAGCCCACAGCAGTCTGGGAAAAGGACCCCATACCAAACAGAGGATAACTGAAGTCATCACACAAAGAGTGTAAGAGCAAAACTACTATGAACTCAATCCCAGCCAGCCATTAGGAAGCATTACAGATTGTTTTGGTCATTATTAAAGAAAAAACAACCAAAGGGAAAAAAGACACCCACAAGTGACAATACCAAAAGTTAATATAATCATAGAATTACACTTAAGATTATGATTTCACCAAAGGTAGAAGAATGCCCAAAGCAATAATTTTTTTAAAAAAGACAAAATCTAAAGCCCCTTTTCCTGTTTACCTGGATGAGTCATGGTGACTGGCTCCTCTTTGGATTTGTTATTGTAAATGACTACAGCAACTGCATTGTGGAAAGCAGCCCGTGATATCTTCTCTTTAAAGGTACAATTTCCTCTTTGTAGCAAAGCGATCCACTGTTTGATATTAGGAGGGACAAGGAACCGTGTTTGAGGATCACAGCCCAGATGATCAGCAACTAGATTAACAAAAAGAAAAGTGAATTAAAGATGAAGTCAGTAAGTCTTTATCAAAGTGTCCTGTTCTCCAAATACTATGCAGATCCAGAGCTCACTGCAGCAAGGCTCTATGTATTTCCACAAAGGACAACACAATCAATCTAACCAACGTCTGTAAGAGAAAGAGAGGAGCTCCACTAAAATGCTTCTTGTACTACAAAGTAAAACACTGGAAACTTTTTTTTTTTAGCTTTACAGATGAAAAGGCCAGTAAAAACCAGGGTGGGTAGGTTGGTAAGAGAGGAGTAAAGGAAAACATACAAACCAAGGTGACAGTCCTCGCCATCTTCCAGTCCATTCATTTGCACTTACCAGCTTTTAAACACACTGCTATTGTCACCACCACCAGGAGAAAACAGAAGAATTTTGCTTGGGGTAAGTGAGGAGGCCAAAGTAATCTTTAATTCAGCTACCAAGTGGTCATGTTGAAATGCAAGCATGGCAAAACAACTTCTTAACAGATGTCAAAAGAAATCACAAAACTTAAATTTGGGCCTATATTTAATAGTGAAAATGATATGAAGAAAAAACATCATTCCTCTTTTACATTTATTGGAAAAGTAACTCTATATATCTGCATTAAGATATATAATACAGGATACAAGGAGACACCAGGCTACCCCTTAGTCCTACAAATTACATGGCCACAGATCCAGACTTTTAGAGAGACTTTGTTGCGAATATTTACAAAGGCATCTGAACTGGTCAAACTAAGTTCTTCAATCTTTGATCCTCACACATGACACTTTCTGTAAATCCACAAAGAAGTCCCTGCTTCCCCTGCCCATTTAGAATAAGTCAAAATGAGAGAAAAGGATGGTGTATAGGGAGAAGGAAGCCACCAAGGGCAGGGCTGCAGACCATCAGCTGGCAAGCAGGGACAGGGAGCAGGGGGGACAGAGGCCTTCTGCCTCCTGTAGTCCATCACTATCAGTCCTGTGTGTATGGTGGAGAGAAGAAGGAGATCACAGCACACTGACCCCAAAGGGTAACCTCAAAGACAGACAAATCACAACTAAGTATTGAGTGCTAGTAATAAAGGATAATTATAATAATTTATATAGAAAGAACACTAGTAGGGAAATGCTTGTTTTCTGTAAGCATACTGCAAAGCAAAAGAAACCAGATGCTTATAATATTTGTCTATTAAAAGGTAAAGATGTCACTGTTATGAAAAATCACATCTACCATTCCCACTTAGATTTTATTCATTGATTTCTCTTATGAAGGAGGGAGGGAGGGAGAGAGAAAGGTGATACAATAAAAACACTTTCTATGAAAGGACTTTAGATACTCACAGTAGGAGGTGAATGCTTCTACAACATGTCATGAGAGGTACCTGCTACCTGCCTACAACTTCTGCTCCTTAATACACTAATCCTTCATTGGTGAGGCAAGGGGCGGTCTGTGTGAGCATGTGGAAGGGAGGATAACACAGTCAGTGAAGACTGCTGGGGATGCAGGTCATTTGAGGAACACGTGTAAAGCCCTGACTTCTATCCCAGCATCAGAGAAAACTTAAATTGAAAAAGTCTGTCACACAGTTTTCCTCAACTACCGAGAGACACAGTCATCACATTATGAAATTTTAAAATTCTGAAGCAGATTGTTTACCTCCAGCAGTATCTGTTACACAGATAATTATGCTGTTTTAAAATACAAGCACTGAAAAGATGTTTTATGATAACCTCTTAAGTATTAAGAAATTGTCCAACACCATATCCAAATAAGGCAACCAGAAGTGGGTTTCAAGTATTTCATTTCTTAATTTTCAAAGTGGACTGCTATATAAACCCTGGCAGGAAATGCAGATTACAGAATGCCCAAAGGGATGTGCACATTTGTCTTATATGAAACTTCCATTTTCTGTGGTGTCCTTTCATCCCATAGCTTCACATACTTTTACAATTCAGTCAAGAGGAAACTATGGAATGATGGAATCAGCAATACAAGGGCTACAATGTCTAAACCAACTACTTACTAGCTGAGCAACTGTGATGGGTTTCTTAACCTCGCTGATTTTAAATTTCTGATTATTATCAAACTGGACTTACTGACTGGTGGTGACGGGGGACTGGACCCAGGACCTCACTTAAGACTACACAAGCGTTCTACCACTGAGCTACGCCCGAAGCCTGACACTGTCATCTCAGAGTTACACATGTGAAAAAGCTAGTGATAATCTCTTTACTCTAGAGTGCCTAAAAATGAGTTCTCTTTCTTTTCCTCAGTGTTGCTCCTGTCCTGTCCTAGCAATCCAGTGCGGTTCCCTGGAGATGTTCGAAGCCAGTGTCTTTGAAATTCCACTGTGGCTCTGCAACAGGCCATGCTCCATGTTTCAGAGCTTCTAAGTGCTGGCTCTAGCTTTCTGACAGTTCAGTCTACTGAGAACACTCTTGTGTTCTCAGACTGCCAAGGAACAGCAAAGGTGTATCAAGCAAAATCCATCAAACCTACTGAAGAGAACTTTGAAATTCTATAGGAATCCCTATCCACTAAGAACAGATTCTAGAACAATTGCTGGGTCCAAACAAATCCCAACAACAGACTGTATGTGCAAAAGAATATTCCTACTCCATAAAACTCACCCAAATGCAAAAGGTTCCAAAAGCAAAACATCAGTAAGAATGAAATGTGGAACAAGAAGAATGAGACATGTGGGTTTCTGTTCCAGGAAGCATATTTATTATTCAGAAGAAGAAAATGAGGTTTTCACAACCACTTAATACTGCAGTGTATGTATTCTATCTCAATATTCCTTCTAATTATAAAAATAAATGAACAATGAAATAGTATTAATAGTTTTGAAACAGCTGCACATTGTGATTAAGTGGTACTACTGCAAATTTAATGCCATTTGTTTGTATTTGAACAATTTATTTTGTTAAAACATATTGAAGCATGGAAGATATATGCAATTATGGACTATTAAAATGTGTCATTAGCAATTCTGTTAAAATTCAGAACCACTTTACTTCATATTCTTAAGACAGTGCTGCCTCTGACTTCTTTGCAATCATTAGTTATAGAGCTGAGGAAACAAATCATAATGACAACCTGAAATTATAGATCATATAAAATATTACACTATATAAGAACTTAAGGCCCGAGAACAGTGCAGCCATCAAGTGCTTGCCTAGTTTATGTGAGGCCCTAGGGTAAGGCCCCAGCACCACCAAAAGATAGTAACGAAACTAAAATCCTTAAATTTTGTTTCCTATATAGACTTTCATGCTGAATGTAAAAATAAGAACGAGGCTTTCATTTACTTCTTAATAGGTACCAAACAAGCATGGGATTCTCAACTCAATGAATTTTGTATGCAAGTATGTACAGGTGCATGTCGAGGCCAGAGGACAACCTCAGATGTCACCCTGAGGAACTCTTTCTTCTTCTTTGGACAGGATCTCTGGTCTGGGCTCATCAGTTTGGCTAGACTAGCTGGTCAGTAAGTTCCAAGGATCTTCCTGACTCCACCTCCCCAATTTTGGGATTACAAACATACTCCACTATGCCTGGCATTTTTTAAGTGAGTTCTGGGGACCCAACTCGGGTCCTATTGCTTGCAAGGCAAGCACTTTACCAACCAACTTCCAAGCCTAATTAGTATTTTTTAACTTATGTACACAGAAGCAAACCAAGTATCAAAGAAAAATAAAATGGGCCAAACACTGTTCTTCGAATTCACAGAACCTCTAAGCTCACTGAGGTGGTATGACTGACACAATCTCAACACAATATGAGAAAACCCCAGAAAGCAGAGTATTTAGAATGCAGGAAAGGACAGAACATATGGTAAAGGGTCAGTGAAAGCCAAACAGAACCCTTGAAAAGTTGCCCAAGCAGAAAGGACGGAGCACGGAAATGACTAAAACACAGGACGGGGTGGGGATGCAGCTCAGCTGGATGCTTGCCTAGTGTACATGAGGCCTTTGGGTTGATCCCTAGAGGTGAAATAACAAACACAGCGAACCTTAAATCCACCAGACACACACACACACACACACACACACACACACACACACACACACACACACACACACACGGAAGTATCTTGAACTCGTATGAGACTCAGGTGATGATACACAGATGAATACACAGCAGAAGCTGTAACACAAATTGAAGATGACAGAGCTCTAGAAAGACCTTATTTGGAATGGGAGAAGAAAAATGTTGCAGTATGAAGAAAATGTAACTATTTAGGGATTTTACTTTATTTGTATTACTTATGTGCTGGAGATCCACCCTAGGCATACCAGGCCCAGTGTTTTACTACTGACTGACCTGTACTTCTAGCCCTTGAAATGTAAATATTTAAAAGGCTGTGGGCTAGTGAGATAGCTCAGCTGGTAAAGGCACTTGCTGCCAAGACTGATGACCTGAGTTCAATCCCTAGCATCTCCACAGTAAAAGGAGAGAATTAACTTCCACAAGCTGTCCTGACTCCCACATGCATACCATGCCATACACTAGTTCAATATATAGATACAAACACATGATAAATAAATTATTAAAAATGTAAAAAATTAAGGTTATTTATATGAATTAATGGATAAAATCTATTCTCCCATTCTAATAGTCTAAAACTTGGCACATGATTAATTTAACAGGATTTCGCCTCTTAAAAATCAAATTCCTCACACATGGAACAGTCACCCTGTTCTGTGTGGGTGAATGGTTTCAAGAACCCCAAGAACCATCAGTTTGCTGTAAACCTCTTGGGTGCAAGTGTTGCTGAAGCAAGAACCCAGCAAAGCACTCTTCTGCTGGTGTAGTTAAGACAGGGAGGGTATAATCTGCTTCAGGCTCACAGGGCCTCATGCTCTTAGAGCCTATGTGTCTTACTTATTTCCTCTTCCTGGAATGCCAATCGTACCACACTCTTGGCTAACCACTTTCTGAGCTTTGGAGTTCTGCTTAAATGTCTTCTTCAGCATGGTTTCCTTCCTTTAGAGACTGAGTTGGGCAGATTTTTCAAGTT